CAGGCATCAATATGTTTCGATATACACATCGCCATGATCATGGCGCGCAGTTCAGGAATCTCACACTTTCTGCCCTTGTAGTGTAATATACTATTTTATAATCGTCCATCTCTTTGTCAAGAAACCAGTGTTACCAATTTATTATCAATAATAGAAGGATTGATAATTTAATCCAAGTAATTTTCAATGCTAAAAATATCTTGTTAACTTTTAATTTGGGGTGAATTGTTTTAAGTCTCCCCCTTATTCAGGGGCGGCACATTAACGCACACCCTTCTACTCGACGGTGAAGGTTATAAAAGCGAATGTCGAAGCCTTTTGTGACAGTCAACTTTAACTTTTGAACCCTAGTTTTAAATATTGCGAACGCGGTAATCCTGTTTTTTTATTAATTAGTTATTTCATTGGTGGATTTAATGCATTTTATTCGATTTTTTGGGATGTTTTTGGCGATGTTTCTTACTTTTGTGGCGGCAATGGGTAAGATTAATTTTAATTATATTTTAAAATGTTACAAAATAATGGGCATAGAATAATTCAAAAAAATTAGATAATTACTTTTTTGGAAAAACAATCATAGGGTAGTAGTAAATAAATTTGAGAAAAATTTGTTAAAATTTGCATATTAAAACATAGTTTTTCCATCCTAACAACTTTTCATAATTACAGTTTTCGATATTGTCACAAATAAAGGTACTTTACTCAAGATTGTACCAAATTAATATTTTTTGTCAAACATATATATGACTGAAAAAATTTGATATTTGATGATTTTATTTTAGATTTTAGTACATGCAGAACTTTTTATAAAAAATAACTTTTCTTCGTAAAATTAATAATAAGAAAGTTTCCCATGTTGCCAACTTCAGTAGGCACACTGTATATAGTATACTAAATGGGTGATTCTACAAAAGTTGGGCAACTTTTGACCTCATTTTGTTTATATAGTTTTTGGAGAAAATTAAACAGTATTTTGTTATGAGAACATAGATAATATTATAAATATACTGTGCCAGACCGGGCCAGTCACTTTTTCAAAGAGTTTCTTAAATATCTGTGTTTTTAAATTTGAATGCAAGGGAAGTGACGAGTATACCAGGGTACTAATAAAATACATAATTTATTGGAAAATATAAGATTTATTGCAACTTTGAACATATTATACATTAAATATCTTAAAATCAAATAATACCACACATCAATGGCGGCTGGTGGATTTTGGGTATACCGATATCTCAATTATTAGATATGAGACCCACACCAAATTTATATGAGTTTATAATGACATTAAATAAACAAGTTCTGCGCAAGCAGAATTTAAATTGAAGTTTGCGAAAAAAAGATAACCGAAACATCGAACATGGAACTGACGACACTGTACTGATGAATGGGATACAAATTTAAGATTATAATTAGGAATTAAGTATTTTACTGATATTTTTTATTAGTGGATGCTACTTATCAACAAATCACATATAACCTTATATAAATTACAATGAAATATATATACGTAAGAAAATAACTACTTACCACAGTACTGAAATTTTGACTGGCACTATACGTGCATTCACCACAACTTCGCCGCTTGCATTGTTTTCAAGATAAATGTCGTGCAAAGGGCGGGCTCTGTAGGTAATTTTTTACCAACACTTGAGTTAAAACGACACAGAACTGACGGGTAAAAGTGACAAAGATTATCAATTTTTAAAAAATTGCTATTATTCGAATCTATGATAAAATATGAAAAATGCATTATTTAATGTTTTATAGTTTGTAGTGAAATTAAAAAATTTAAGATAAATTGAATATATTTTAAAATAAAATCACTCAAATATTTGATTGAGGAGTTGTGACACGCCAAGGTACTGATGCTTTGAATATTTATTATGTTTTTCTACAAACCTGCATTTTAAAAAATATATTAAAATTGGGTGGACAAGTTAAAAAAATCTCTTTTGTAATATACTAAAATATTTACAAAAAAATTAAAATACCTACTCTATTGACTGATGACATCAAGTTGTCCAACTTTTGTAGAATCACCCATATGACGTTTTTTTATTTTCTAAGAATTCGACACCAAAAGAGGAAGCATGATTCGCTTTCCAAGGATTGGCAGGATGGACCCAGGGATCGCTAAAGACAAATGGGATCTAGAACAAATAAGAGCAGCCAACTGGTTTGGAGATTGGGCAGTGAAAATGCACAAAAGAAATCCTTCGGAGGATGAAACACTACCATGGGCAAGAATAATAATTAATGGTAGGAATACTCCTTTTTTTAAATAAATTTATTTTAAAAATAAATGATTTTTTAGGTATTCCTTTTCCGGCAAAAGTCTACTACAACAGTATTTCAGAGGAGGTCCCCAGTAACATGGTGCAAAAACAAAAAGATTTGCTACAGTAAAAATTGTTTCCCCCCAAAATAAAAATCAAAAAACGGCTGGATTTATAATTTTTCATAAATTTTTATCTCATTGACCGGTTTTAGAAAACTCTGCTTAGTCTAGATACTTAATAAAATGTTTAGTTATTTACTACTTTTATTTTATAATTTGTAAACAATATACATGTGCCTTTAAAATATATAGTATGTATATATATATATATATATTATATACCATGTCCTATACCTTAAGTTAAATGTTTTTAAGTTATTATTTTTTTTCGTTAAAATTTCAGAAATGCTCGTCAATCAAAAATAGCCTATAACTTTTTTGTTATTAGGTTTGGGAATATGGGGGTGGAATTTTTGGAATCTTGTAATATTTTTTATCAATTCTTTAACATTTTTAAACAACTTACCTGAGAAAACCTAGGGAAAATTAGGCTAACTTGAAAAACAATTTCTTAAATTTTAAATATAATTTTCTATAAAGAAACCTGTGACGGGTGACTTGACGGTTTCTACGGTTACCACGTAATCTGTCATTGTTTAAAATTTAATGTCGTCAATTTTTAAGGTTGTTATAAACAATTTGTTGACTAAATAAGTTTTTTATTTGTAAGTTTAAAAAAAAAACAACAAAGCTGTAGGATGTCAACCAGCAATAGCTCATTGGAGACAATATAATATAAAATGTATTAAAATAAATATGAAATATTTAAATAACAAAAAAATGCGTGACTGTAACACTTCGATAAACCAACAATATTTTAGTTACACTAAAAGAACAGTTTATTTATAATTAATGATGTTGTTTAACAATAAATAAAGGATTAATTCGATAATGGCGGGATAAATATTTATTAAAAAAAAATAATTTATAAGTTGGTATTACTTTAATAAACTTTTTTTGCGTAAATAAAAATTTATTCATTATAAACGGGTCATTTTCAAGAAACGCTTTCAGGAAAATGAAGATCAAAATATTTTTTTTGCTTAAATTGACTTTTGGTTGGATTTTTATAGTTAGAGTTTTGTTTACTTACATTTAAGACAGGCAGTGCACTTTTTAATTTTTTTTACGTTTTCTTCAGAAAAATGTGTTTAGCTAGCTTAATATATCTCCACTGTGTTGCCAATTTGAAATCCAAAATTTAATTCAATAAAAAAAGTTGTTATAAAAATAATTTGAAATAAAATGTACTTAGTTCACAAACTTTTTTATTTTATTTTTTATTAAAAATTGTATGCTTTTTTTTAAATATGTATGTTCGTTAAGTTACTTTTTAAAAGAAACCATTCCGATTCTTTGTTAAAAAAACAATACCATTAATATTTTCTTTTAGTCACTGTATTAGTGAATTAAACTCTAATTTATAAACACGTATTACCAAGTGATATTGTATAAAAATTATTTTAAGTATTTTTTTAATAAAAACTAAAAAAAGTAACGAAATAGACATTGGTATCACAACGGACAGTGGTACACAAAGGACTTAATCAGATAACGTAAAAAAGAAACTATATAGGGTGGTACGATTTTAGAGTAATGCATAAACAAAATCCCTTGTACTGGTGCTTATTTGCAGAATAACAACTTAGATATCTAAATTGTAGACACCCTTTTTCTTTGACTATAAGCTGGTGAAGGTCCCTTTTAGTACTTTTATATTGCGTGGAATTTTTCCTTGGATGTAATCTATATCATGAGTTGTAATTACAAATAATTTTAAGTTGGTTAATCATAAACTACTTTTAATAAAAGCGACATTAAATATCCACTTTGTTGTCGAAAAATTCTATTGCGTTACCCTAAATTCCATTGCGTTACCATAAGGTAACATAGTGGACTCGGTAACGCAGTGGACAAAGTTTTGTAAAACCATATTTAAAAAATAATAATAAGACATTATAGTCATTAATTACTCTCAATGAGCTTTAGTGCCCTAAAATAAACATAAACATGAAAAATAGTATTTTTTCTTACCTTATTTTTATTATTTTTTTGAGTAACTTAGCGGACAAACAATTATTACATTCGCGTTACCCGCACCTGTTTCAACCGATATCTTCTTCCTGATTGAATAAATAAATTCAGCAAGGTAATGTGTACGTCCGAACATCATTTGTTGATCACGTGAGTACCAAAAAAGTTGCCATATATATGTTTTTTTAATATTTTATCGGTAACGCGACGGACGTAACGCAACGGAAAAAATGTCTGGGACATGAGTCAAATTTGAAAAAAGTAATTGTTTACTATATTTACTAAGGATGTTATGGATTGCTATAAAGCAACACAAAGTTCTGGTTATTCAATATTTAAAAAAAACATGTATGTAATTTTATAAAACGCTAATGGGACATGCGAAAATGTGTGTTTCACAAGTTTCAATATTAAAAAAAATTATTCTGAAATAACTAAACAAAAATTTTCTGAAAGAGTTTACTAAGGGCTTGTTAGGCTTTTACTTGGTTTAAAATCAATGAGACACGATAATTTTTAACAAAGTTATTGGAATTCAAACTTACGGACAGCGGAAGGCCCAATTTTTTAAATAATTCAAATATTATGATTTGATATATACTTTATTGTTATTAAAAAGCCCGAGTCAATCCAACTCAAGTTCAATATTTTTGAGATACCTCAACCAGATGTTCTTCTGCTTAACTCTATCGGTTTTACACTGCAAAGTTTCAGCATTTACATCTTCCTTTCTATTATAATTAGAGGCAGCCTCCTTCAACCTAAAAACGAAACTGAAAAAAAAAACATGGAAAATGAACTTCCATACGAAATGACCGCTGCTTTCGCCGGCAAATCAAAAGTTTCCGGTGGGACGAACAAGTTGATGGTGTTGGCCTCTGAAGCCGAAATCATGTTCAAATTTGACATGGAAGTGATGACATTTCTTGGTATCAGTTTTAACATGGCGTCGAATTTAACCCTCGGCCATCCCAGACAGCCCAAAGCTATCCCATTATGAGCTAAGTCCTCTTCTGGGAAACTGAAAGCTGCCGAGAGAAATTCGCTACGCTCATCAGTACTATAAAAGATTTTTTTGGGTAGATGGCCTGTAAAAAGTTTGGTAAAATAGATACCTTAAGTTGTATACATTTATTGTCATCAGAGGAACATCGTGATCACAGGTTAGTATTTCTTGTACAATGGGAGATTTTTGTTTTAATTTTTTCTCGTGATACCAATTTTCTCCGAATATTATCTTTTTTTCTTCGGATGACAATTGGTTAGCCTGACTGATACGACCTTTTCGTTCCACTATATTAAAATAGTCCGATCTAATAAGTCTGTTTATTTCTACTTCTACAAAATAACTTTTTTAATATTTAGAATATTTTAAATATTAGTTCCAAATATTAAGAATGTTCAATATAAGAATGTAAAAAAAGTTCATTTTTAGAATGGTTCTGATTATCAGAATCTGATATTGAAAATTGAAAATAAAAAATGTTTTAAAGTATTCAAAATGTTCATTGGGCAAAATACTCCAAATAATTAAAAATTTCAAATAACAAATAACACAAACATAATAAAACGTTGAAACTATTTATAATTATAAATAATAAAATGTTCGAAGTTTTAAAATGTGTTAAATATTAAAATGTTTAAGTACCTACATAATATTATTATGTTCCAAAAATTAAATCGTTTTACTACACACACACTTAAGATCTTTTCCAATATTTAAATGTTCCTAATAATAAGAGGTCTTAAATAATAAAATGTTCCAAATTTTAAAATGTTCCAAAATTTTTACTGCTTTAAATAATAATACATGTATGTTAAAAATAATAAAATGTTTCAAATTTTAAAATGTCTAAAAATAATAAAATGTTTAAAATATTAAAATGTTCCAAAATTTTTACTGCTTTAAATAATAATACATGCATGGTAAAAAAAATAAAATGTTCCAATTTTTACAATTTTCTAAGTAATAAAATGTTCCAAGATGTTAAATATTACAATGTTTCAAATAATAAAATGTTACAAGTTTTAAAATGTTTTTAATGATAAAATTTTTAAAATATTACAATGTTTCAATTACTGCAATGTCTAAAAAATTAAAATTGTTTTCAGTAAGAACTCCACTTACCAAAAAGATATATGTAAAAAATAATAAAATGTTTAAAATATAAAATATCTTTAATAAAATAATTAAAATCCTAAAATGTTTAAAATTTTTAACTGTTTCAAATTATAAATTTATAAAAATTATTATTAAAAATAATAAAATAAAAATTGTCGACTAATAAAATGTTCCAAATTTTTAAAAGTTGCAATAAGATGTTTTAAATAATTAAATGTACGAGGTGTGTTCAGAAAATAACGGAAATTGTTAAATTTCGCGGCTTCGGAGGGTCCGGTTGTCATAAAATTTTATTTATTATGTTGGTATACATGCCTCCGAAGCATGATAAAAAGCTGTTTTCATTGTTTACTTTGTCTGTGGCAGCCGTTAAGGTTAGACGTGTTTTATGAGCTCGGCGATTTTCGTTCGTTAAAAGAAATGGATCAAAGAGAATTTGTATCCAATTTTGCTTAAAAAAATGAAATAAATTCTGTGAAATGTAAACAAAGGCATATAATGAGTCTGCTATAAGTAAAACAAGAGTTTACAAGTGGTATAAGAGTTTCCAAGATGGCCGTGAAGACGTTAAAGATGACGAACGCCCTAAACGCACAAGCATATTAACAACCGATAAAAACATGAAAAAAGTTAAAGAAATGGTTATAAACCATCAGAGAAGTCACTGATGATGTTGGTATATCGATTGGCTCATCCTATGAAATTTTTTCAAATGTTTTGGGTATGAAACGCGTGGCAGCAAAATTTGTTCCAAAATTGTTGAATTTTGAACAAAATTTTTGGCCAAAAACAATACTGTAATGATGCCTCAGCCTCCATATTCGCCAGACATGCCTCTGTCCGACTTTTTCCTATTCCCAAAAATAAAGAGAACATTAAAGGGCCGTCGTTTTGCAAGCATAGATGACATTATAAAAGGGCATCGCTGAAAGAACTAAAGGCTATCCCAAAGATCCAGTTTTAGAAGTGTTTCGAGTATTGGAAGAAGAGCTGGCACATGTGCATAATATCCAATGGGGACTATTTTGAAGGCGACAACATTAATGTAGACGAATAAATAAATATTTGTTTTAAAAAACGAAAATTCCCGATATTTTCTGAACACACCTCGTACATGTTTTAAAATGTTTTTGATATGTTCAGAATATTACAATGTTCCAATTAATGCAATGTCTCAAAAATAAAAATCGTTTCCAGTGAAAATTTTTACTTACCAAATAAAAATGTTCTCAAAAATAATTGAATGTTCTAAATTTCAAAATGTTTTAAAAAATAAAAATGTCTCTAAATAATAAAATGTTTAAAATAATAAAATGTTTCAAATTCTAATTAATATAAAATGTTCTAAATGATAAAATGTTAAAAATAATACAAATTTTCAAGTTTTAAAACTTTCCACATAATACAAATACATAAGGGTATATATAAACATATAAATTTTTTTAAACTTAAGTAATAAAATTTAATTTTTTTTAATGTTCCAACAATAAAATGTTTTAAGATGTCACAAATTACAGTGTTTCAAATAATAAAATGTTTAAAAGTTTAAAATTCAAATTATTACAATGTCTCAAAAATTAAAGTTGTTTCTACTGAAAACTTTTTAAGTCCTAAATAAGATTTGTCAAAAATAATAAAATATTCAAAATATTACAATGTTCCAATTAATGCAATGTCACAAAAATTAAAATTGTTTCTACTTACCAAATAAGATTTTCGTCAAATTGCACAATAATAGAAAGTTTTAAATAATATAAATATTATTTGAACATTTTATGTTCCAAATCTTGAAATGATTTAAAAAATAAAAATGTTCCCACTTACCACAATAAGATTTTTGTCAAAAGTAGTAAATTTTGAAACAATATTAAAATGTTTAAATAATAACAATGTTCGAAATAAAATGTTCCAAATTTTGAAATGATTAAAAAAATAAATGTTCCCACTAACCAATATTCGCTAAATATTTTCTCCAATGAGTGATCCAAACAACCCTGCTGCTAAAATTTATCAAACACTCGTACTGACGTCTATCCTTACCGGTCAACGAAGTGTTGTTCTTGGTGTTCATGTGGTGAAACTGCATGCTTTCCATGGAACCCATCAAAATGGCGGAGAACTCCTTTGAAACGACACTTCTTAAATCGGCCATGTTTTCGCTTATTATGGCCTCGTTACGTTCAACGTTGGCATTTCGTAGACTTCTGGCTGCCAGCTCGCGCCTCTCCAAGACATTTTCGTAGGTTTCTATAAAAAATTGGAAGTAAACAATTAGAGCCCTGAAAAAACGATCTATGGAGGGAGTGTGAACGAATTGTATGAACTCTGGCGACAGGTCTTTAGGGTTTATTAGGTATATTATTATATCTTTGACATCCTGTAATGTAACAACTTCAGGGTCTTGTATTTTTACTCGTCTTTGATAGAGTTTTCTATATTGGGCCTTAAACAGTTTTATTTAGCTCTATAATAGGTTTAAATTGATTAAAACCTGTTCCAAACTATCTAAAGTTTCCCTCATTCGAAACACCTCACTATCAGCACCTCTATCTAAAGACGTATCGGAGACCTGTGATGGTTCTTTACTAAAAAAGTGTTAAATACTAAAAATCGATTTTTTATGTTTTTTTGTTTATACCTATTGAATATTAATTCATCCATATCATCGTCCCAACTCCAAACGCCGCATTTAAACTGACTCCGCTCCATTAATTAAGAGAAAAATTAACAAAAAGAACAAAAACGTCAAAAAATTAAAACCACATTTTTAAGCCCGTCCCTGACCATTAAAAATCCTAAAAGTCATGCACAATAATTATATTCTATTATTATGTAATATTTTAACGCATTTCTTAACAAATAACGCATATATTTATCACTGTAATAGATAAGCAACCCCATAAATTTCAAAAATAATCGCGCTGGCAACATCGCGTTACGTAGACCTGTCAACGTCGCGGTATATTGACATGTAAACGTCAAAGTTCCAGATGTGATGTGGGATAGGTTGTGTTTAAAAAAATTGTTTATAATTTTCAACGTTTAAGTGTACAGTAATTTAGCCATGTAAAATACGTGCCCAGGGTTACATTGTAGAATAGATTAGCGAATTAAATCTTTAAAATGGTGTCAATCATCAAAAATCAGCTTTTAAAGCACCTATCTAGGTAAGTAAAAATGCATTATTTATGAGTTTTGAGTGCGATTGTTTGGGTTTTTAGGTTTACAAAAAATTTGTCAGCTGATAAAATTAACCTAAGCACCTTTAAAGGTGAAGGGGAGCTGTCAAACTTGGAGTTAAATGAGATTGTTTTAACAGAATTGTTAGAGTTGCCTTCGTGGCTCAGATTAACTAAAGCTTGGTGTAATAAAGTTACTTTTCGGATAGCATGGACTAAGTTAAAAAGTGTTCCAATACATTTAGTAAGTTTGGGTTAAGTTAAAACAAGGTAAAGTGTTAATTTTGGTGTTGTAGAGTCTGGACGAAGTTAATATAACTGTCGAAACATGTGAGGAGCTTCGTTCTATGTCAGCACAAGGCGGATTGTCGTCTTACGCGGTACCAGGGAAATACAGTTTTATTCACAAAGTTATAGATGGCATTACTGTCACGGTTAACACTGTAAATATACTGTTTAACAGCCCTGCTTTCACAGCCAGTGTACAGGTAATAAATTATAATTTTATTTACATAATAAACATTTTTCAATAAAGATTGCCCAATTTTGTTATCTTTAATGTGTGTTTGGTTATGTCCAGTTCAAGGTACAAAGATTAAAAGGTTTTTCAAACACTGTTTTTTGAATGGTGAAGGTTTTTTTATAACTAAATTTTTGCAACATTGTCCAATTCGCTAAAATTTTACTTTTTTAAAACAGTTGTTATGTAAAACTTTCTGACTAGTAGTTTTTGGGTTAGGGTTATTTTTTTATTTTAATGTTTTGATTTATTTATATAAATAAAAACAATTTTCTATGGAGGTTTTAAAAATAAAAAGTTAAAATTTGTTAACAATAACGAAGTTATGGTGATTTTAAGTCAACAATGTTAACTCCAGCTCTCAGCAGATGCGTTGTTTATTTTGTTTTCATAACAATCGTTTTTGATGAGAAATATACAGCGTTACCGAGTTTTTAAACTTAAATATTAATAATGTTATACACCCTGTTATAGCACACCGTTTTATTATTTATTAGATAATAGTTTAGCACTTTAATGATGTTTTAACAGAAATTTACAAAGTTAAATTTTTTTAAACTCAAAGCAATATATGGTCAAAAAATATTTTAAATATAAAATACAACTGTTAAGCTTTAAACTTAAAAATATTGATTTTAAAAATTTGTAGTACAAATATTTTATTCTACAAAATTATCTGTATAAATTTGATTCATTTAAATGATAGTCGATAAATTTTTAATACAAATATTCTCACAATAAAATTTAAATGTGTGTTTTAAATTTTAAAGTGGTAATTTTTGGAATAAAAATTTGGATTTTAAAATTTAAATGACTCTTTACAAATTTAAACCAAAACATTATATTTTTAACAATTTTAAATTGATATATTTTGTAAACAGAAGTGATATGTTTATGTTATGGCACGCCGTTTTAACATTTATTAAATAATTTTTTAAATTAAAATTTTATTGGTTTAAAATTTTCCCAACTAAAAATTTTAGGTTTACATTTATAAATTTATAATATTTTCAACTATCATGTATTGAAAGACAAAATTTACTAACCAACAGTTCACTTCTTTATTAAACAATATTATTTTCTATCATTTTTTAATAAATATAATTTCACAAGTATAATTTATTTGGGTGGCATTTTGTTAACTTAAATAAATATTTTATAAAATTATTGAGATTAATTTGGTAAAGTTAAATTTTTTAGTATTTAAAAATAGTATCAAGCCATTTGAAATAAAAACACATATAAAACATTTTTACCAAAATAGTTTAAAAAGTTAAATTTTTGTAAACTTAAAACTATTGATAATCAAAAAATATTTTAAATATAAAATGCAACTGTAAAAGTTTAAGTTTAAAATTATTAATTTTTAAAATATGGAATTTAAATATTTTATTCTTCAAAATTATTGGTTTGAATTTGTAAAGAGTCATTTAAATGATAGTCGATAAATTTTCTATACAAAAATTTGAACATGTTAGTTTTAAATTGTAAAGTGGTAATTTTTGCATTAAAAATTTATCGACTATCATTTAAATGACTCTTTACTTATTTAAACCAATAACTTTTATTTTTAACAATTTTAAATTGATACATTTTTAAGACAAAATTTATAACTTTACATTTAAATGTGTCGATAATTTTTAAATTACAAAGTGTAAACGAAGCTTTAGTACAAGGCACAAGATCGGAGCCTCGCTGCAGCCAGTTTGATCCGCAATGTTGCCAAATCGTGCTTGCTCCATAAATATTTGACGCGTTTTACAAATTATTGTAATGAAATGTTTCTTTATTACATAAATTTAATAATAGAACAACAACATTTTTAGTGCCTATTGTACTAAGTTAATTCGACAATTAAAAAACATCAACGGATCAAACTGGCTGCATCGTGGCTCCGATCCCAGACTCTTGTGCCTTCTACTAAAGCTACCATCATTTAAATGACTCTTTAAAAATTTAAACCAATAATTTTGTAGAATAAAATATTACAACTAAAACTTTTAAAACTCAATATTTTTAAACATAAATTTTTACTGTTGTATTTAAAATATTTTTTGACTATCAATTGTTTTGGGTTTAAAAAAATTTTACTTTATAAATTTCTGTTAAAACATAATTTAAGTGCTAAACTTTAATCTTTAAACTTTTATCTAATAAAACGGCGTGCAATATATGTTGGTAAATTTTGTCTTTCAATACTTACATGATAGTTGAACATATTTTAAATTTATAAATGAAATTCAAAATTTTTAGTTAGGAAAATTTTAAACCAATTACATAAATTTAAAAATTATTTAATAAATGTTAAAACATTTGGATAAAACATAATAATATTATGAGAAATAATAAAAAAGTTACTTATAATAACTTCCATAGCATTTGGTGTGGTGTTAAATAGTAAAATATTTTTAATTAGATTTCCAGAATAGTAGTGGAATCAAAAAACCCGAGATGGGTTAAGTCGGATCTGCGCATGACGAGGGTCAAAGACCCCGAAAAGGGTCAACTACTGATTTTTAAGGAGTTAGAATGGCAAACTGTTCGAATTGAGGCAAAATCCACCATTGATAAAAACTTGACCCCTTTGAGATTGTTGACCAATCAAGCTAGGTGTAGAATTGTTATAAAGAAAAGAATATCAGGTAGATTTGATTGACGCGTTTGATGGTGAAAATTAACGTGATTGTTTGTAGATTGTTTTATATTGGGGTCAAGGTTGGTAATTATACTAGACGATTTATTATGGGTGTTAACGGATTCGCAGCTAAAAGCTGCCCTACATTTTTTGGACTCCCTTTCCGGTTTGGTGCAAAGAGCCACCGAAATGACGAGAACCGTGAAAGCCGCCAGAAAACTAGAGGTATTTAACGTTTCGTTTTGCGCGGTTGGTATTGTTTAAGTGATTTCAGGAGTTGCCAAATCAAATGCCGGAAACGCGGGCAAACGAACGATCAGTCAGCAAACTATTCAGCATGTACGACGTCGTCGAGACTTCCTACCATTTCTTGTCGAACCAAATTGTTCTGCACCTCTGTGACGATCCAGGTTGTAAGTATTACATGTATAAATAAACTCGACAACACCGCTTTCTTTCGCTCAGCCGGCAGGTCGAGTCATCCGCACTTGAAAGACGGTGGCGCCCTCCAAATCAGCGTGAAAAAGTTCCAAATCGACTACTATCCATATCACTTAGCACGGGACAACAGGAAATGTTGGCCAAAGTACAACGCATCCTCCATACCTCACACAATGTGGCAGGAGCAATCGCTAGCGGCCTTCAGGACGAAATTCATCGACCTAATCGACAAGCACCAAGTGCAACACGCACCCTTAAGTCGTTCCAACAAGGTAAGAACCATGGTACAAGAAAACAAGGTAACTTTGTAAAGTTTTTACTGCATTTATTGAACAGCAATACGCAACAAGTAACAAAAGTACAACTTTTGATAATCAGCTGTCAAACGCGTGTGTTACAAACAAGTGTTTTTGAGAATAAGGCCATAAAATGTTAAAAAATATAGAAAAAAAACCTTGTCACGATTTGTTGTGTTGTTGGCTGAATCCAGGAAATCCTGAATTGAGTTTTTATCGGTTTTCCAATAAACAGTGTTAATCCGAATGAAGAAATAAAATTCATACAGACCCTGTAAATATAAATAGTATCTATTAGATTCAATAAATACACATTTTAGTAATGATTAACGTGAAAAGTGTAAACATTTCAATTCAGTAATAATCGTCAAACAAATAAGTCGACTAAATTTAAACATCATTTAGCATTATTAAAAGTGTTGATTAAGAATTCTTTAAAGTCTCCACTCAACGGTAAAATACCATTATATTATGTATTATATATAATATTATGTTGCGTAGGTATATTTTGTTGTTTAAATGCAGTTGTCGGCGTTTTTTAGAGAACTCAAACATAAAAATGGTTGATTTACCAATTTCTTAAAAATGTCCAAACTTAAATATAAATTATATTAGGTAAAGTTATCATTAGTTAATTCTGCACCAACAAATGTACTTACCAAATTGGATCCATTGGCAAAACATGAAAATTCGACGATTTAGTTCTTGAATTTTATTTACAATTAAAAACACAATAATTCACCATGATCCCTTAGATAAAATACACACACTAACGTAACTAATAGTTACTAACTATATAAGCATTTAAGCGTTGAGTTTCTTAATCAATGATATAAAGAATAATCAATCGAAATCGAGTAGGTACTAAACCAGTTTTTTATTTTTTTCCATGCAACATAAAACACAAATAACGTGCGCGATTTAGCTGTGCAATTAAACAAAATTTGTCGAGTAAGACTTCTGCTTTCCTCTCTTTTGTGAAAAAACTACCCATTTATTTAAAAATGATGTACAGTTCGTATGCTTAAAATGTATTATCGACAATTCTTAAATTCACGCAATGCTTTTGAAGTCCACCAGATGGCGCGCGCGTTGCGAAAACCCTATACTTCTTTAGCGTATACCCAATTTTCTGTTAGGTACAGTAACTTTTCACCCTAACCACATATTTTTTTACAGCTTGCAAAAGTTCTTACTAATAATAAAATTAAAATACAATTGTATTGGAAACTCGCTTCAAAAGTGTCACAAGGAAAAAAACAGTTTTGAGTTTTTTTTTACTTTTGACACTTTAAAGCGGGCGTGCATTATTATTACCTGTATAAATGCAGTTTGAGTTTGAGTTTCTGTCTTCAAAGATCATATTATGCTTCCTGGTTTTGTCCTATTTCATGTACACTGTAAAAAGAACAATGATTTATATTGATTTTTCCAATGTTATATTAATTTCTTACGAAGTACTTACTTGAGTTCTCTTTTGATAGATCAGCTGTTAAGTGTGAAGTTGGTACTGTATCCACTTTTAAGGACTTTTTTTTTATAGAAATGCAGTTTTTTTCGATTCAATGTTCCTTCTTATAGCAACTATCTCTCCCAAGTAAAAAGCTACAAAACAAACAAAAATATTAACCTAAAACATTAACCTAAACTATTTTTTATTTATATGTTTGACACAGATAATCTGTGTATACAAATGGAAAGTTGTTTTTAAAGGAAATGTACTGGATTTTCAGGTTTTTTCTTTTTGGCATTGTTTTTACAGACTTTCACTTGGCAGGTAGACATTTTAAACTTTAAACTTTAAAATAGCTTAAAAAACAACTCACATCAAAATGTAAATAGTCAAAATGGCGGCGACTGGGTGCTCCCACCTCTTCGCCAATCTGATGGAGTGGTGGAAACACATGCGCAAGAACATACCTTGTTTTCTTGTACCACGTTTAGGAGTAAGGTTAAAGACGTTGTTTTCTCGATATTTTGCTTGTGAAGTGACAAAAACCGAATGTTCCTTCTGATGTCCATGTATCTCTTAGACTCCGCCCTCGGCCGGCGCTTCGCCCAATCAGGAGCAACGCAAGCCTCTCAGTCCGAGTCAGAAGGAGGCCAAACGACGCGTCGAGATTCAACTGTCGAAACTGATGACGACTTGCGTGGTCATGCGCATCGAAGATTTCACTCTCTACAAGGTGACGACGTCCGGAAAAAAGCAACAGCTGAAGGAGTTCATTTCCGGTGAGATTAATTGTAATCGGTGATGATTTTTTTTACGAAAAAATTTGTTCTTGATTTGTTAGCTCAACATAAACGGAGAGACAAGGGTGCTTCAGGTATTCGAAATTGTTATCAAAATTAGTAGTTTTTTGAAGCACTATTGATGGTTTACACTGTATACAGTGTGTCCGTAAAGTCCCGGAACATGTGATTATTTTGAAAACGATATTTTTTTTAAAAAACGCTGAAACACGTCAACTTTGGTATTTTTCTAGCAATATTTTAGCATATGTAGTTGTTCCAAAATCTGCCGCGTAGCGGCGCACCAATCGAAGTAAGGTTTTTTTAAATTACAACCCTTAATTTTTGTTGCATTTTTGGATAGCTACTGTCGTCCTGAGTACATTGATATGCTACATGTGGAGGGTTACAAAAGAAAATTTTTGAGAAAAGTAGGTTTTTGCCGCTGATTAAGATTTTGGTTTTGACGAACTTATTCGCTGTTACGGGGCACTATGCATTGCTATTAAGGGATTATTTAAATCAGGTCTTTCCCAATCGCTGGATAGGTCAAAGGGGTCAAATTGAGTGGCCAGCGCGATCGCCCGATTTGAACCCTTTAGACTTCTTTTTATGGGGACCTCTTAAAAACCGCGTCTATGTAAACAGGCCTTAAAATTTGGACGACCTAAGACACCGCATTCAAGCCGAGATCCAGATGATCACTCCAGCGGTACTGGCAAACGTACAACGCTCGTTTGTAGGCTGTTCCATTTCCAAATAGTTTACGGTGGACACTTTGAGCAACTGCTCTGATTGGCTTTCCAAAAAACATTAAGCAACGCATAGATTGTGTAAGTTTGACAAAATACCAAAATCTCATTCGGCAGCAAAAATCTGATTTTCTCAAAAATTTTCTTATGTAACCCCCCAGATGTGGCACATCAATGTAATCAGGACAACGGTAGCTATCCAAAAATGCAACAAAAATAAAGGGTTGCAATTTAAAAAAAACTGACTTTGATTGTGGCGCCGCCACGCGGCAGAATTTGGAACAACTACATATGCTAAAATATTGCTAGAAAAATATCAAAGTTGGCGTGTTTCAGCGTTTTTTTAAAAAAAATACCGTTTTCAAAATAATCACATGTTCCGGGACTTTACGGACACACTGTATATGTATTTATGCATCTGATCACTTTTAGTGTTTTTTTACAACAATAATAAAAGTTTGTCTTTTATTTTATTTTACTGTTTTCTTCTTAGGGGATAGAGAACACATGCAACTTCCAAAAGAATCTAGCATTTTACATGCTGAATTCATTTACTACTATTATCCAAATGATGTACCATTTCCATGTAAGTATTTAAATATTTGTGAACACAAATTTGCTGCCCCTAGTAAGATTTTAAATTATGCCATTTTTCGAGTAAAAAACATATTTTAAAGACAACTTTACACCAGGAAAGTTCTATTTTTAAAAACATGTTAAATATTCAAATCAAAATTAAATGGTGCACTGAATTATTATTATTATTTAGAAAGTATATTTTTTTCAAGTTTTAAAGATAAAAAAGTATTTTTATTAAAAACGTGAATACACTAAGGCCTAAAAAACTCTATAGTATCAAAATTTGTATCTCTGTTGTATAGAAATAAATTTAGTTACATACAGGGTGAGTTTTAAGTTGGCGCGTTCCTTTTAACAGTGTGTAGAAATCAGCTAGACAAATAAATATTTTAAGTAACTTTTTTATCAAAACTCAAAAATAAAAAAGTTATAGCCCATCAAAGTTTAATTAAATTTTAAGCCGGTCCTGGCTATTGTTAACGAAAAACATAACCATAAAAATATCAAAATAAACAATGCAAAATGTCATATTTGACAACAAACATAACCATTTAAATCAAATTGACATTTTGCAATAAAAAATGTCATTATTTACTTAAGTTACAGCATTTGCATTTTGACGACACTCTCCATAAATTAGTAACATTTCCACTAATTCATTATTGCTATAATTATGAACCATTTTTAACAATAATTAGGGCACAAAAAAACTTAAATAATGACATTTTTCATTGCTAAATGTCATTTTGATTTAAATGGTTATGTTTGTTGTCATATATGACATTTTGCATTGTTTATTTTGTTATTTTTATTTTTATGGTTATGTTTTTGTTAACAATAGCCAGGACCGGCTCAAAATTTAATTAAACTTGAAAGGCCTATAACTCTCTTATTTTTGAGTTTTGATAAAAAAGTTACTTAAAATATTTATTTGTTTATCTGATTTCTACACGCTGTTAAATGGAACGCGTCAACTTAAAACTGTATATCGCATTATTTCGGTTTCGGGAATTTTGTTAAACAATTATCAAACAGTGAAAAATAACTAGAAAAGAAATATCTAAGGACGGCATTATTTTCTATCAATTTTATAAACTAAAAAAACTAATTTTTAGTACCTCCGCCAAAATTCTACGTGCAAGTCAACCCGATACAAGTGGTTTTTGACGTTGACAGTTGCTTGTGGTTGAACTCATTCGCCTTAAATTTGTACCAATCATTGGTGGCATCCAAAGCGGAAATACCACAAAGCGATCTAACCTATATCGACGTTAAAATCGAAGCCATACTGCCTAGGGTAAGTTCCAACTCTATTTGAAACAATTTACCTAGTTCATAGTACATTTCTTATGTTTTTTTTATCTTTGATGGGTATGTCAAATTAAATTTGCCGTCCCACCACCTATTGCAAAAGTAAAAAATAGACTTCAATTTTTTGTTTGATAAAAAACTCTTTACTGATATCAATATATTAATATATATGCATTTGTTGTGTCACTTGGAAAATAGATTTTTTTTATTGTGAAAAATGTCTCTTGCACACTGCACTGCTATCTCTACGACATTAAAACTTAAAAATTAGAGACTCTTTAAACAAAACTTTACTGCTGAGAGTAACATTAAAATTACCTTTAGTTTGCCTAAATAATAGTCACAATGGATCTGAAAATGTGAAATATTTATTTTTTAGATGTAGATATAAAGGTACTTTACTCTTGAGTAAGATTCATATTTTTTGACAAACCGCGTAAACGACTGAAATTTTTTTATATCTGATGATTAGAACATGCAGAACTTTTTATGAAGAATAACTTTTTTTCTTAAAATTAATAATAAAAAAGTTTCTCATATGTTGCCAACTTAAGTAGACACACTGAAGAGTGCCTTTAGTATTAAAATAAAATATATTTATAAAATTTACTGTTTTTTAAATCAAATGTAAGAAAATTATAAAATAAGTTTTGGACACTTAAGGAATATTATTTATTTAAAATTTATATATGCCATTGTTTGAAAGATTTTAGTTTTTTTCTTATAAATATATAAAAATGATAGTTTGTTTCTTTAAACTTATTTACGTTTACTTAAAAATAATAATATTTGAATTTTTAATATTAGTTTTATAGAAACATGCAAAAAAGTATAGTAATTGGACACATTGACCATAGTTATTGGACATATAATTTTTATATAAACTTAACAACTTTACATGAAATAACATAAATTGTTAAATATTTTTTAAGGATAAATTGCTGTTTTAGGTAATTTTTTTTATTTCGTTTTTGCCAATATCATATAATTCATATATTTCTTTCTCGGATTCCTCATCCCTTTTCTGGCTTCTAAAATAGTTTGTTGCAAATATCATTAAGTGTGGTATCTCTAGTTTGTGAAGCATTTATAATGTTTAGGCCGGAACAGGATGATTTATATATATCTAATATTTTTTCGGGTGGTATGTTAAAAGTATTTTCCGAATTTATTAATTTTGTTGTCATTAGTTTTTTATGTTCTCTATCATGCACTGTATTTAAATCACTGTTATTCTGCAAGATGTCGTGTGACGAAGAAATCACTTATTACTTACTCTCTAAAAATGAATTAGTCAAAAATGTCATAGCGAAAAAGCAGCCACTAATTTAGCACATTTAGCAGTCAATTCCTATGAATTATTAATCGCTGAATCGGAAAATGTCGTAAAAGTTATAAAAGTAGAACAGTTTTTGAAATATACCTAATCAATTTTACATATAATACAGAATTGACTATATCTCAAAAACTGCTTAACTTTTATAGTTTTAGACGGTCTTTTCGGATTCAGGGGACAATTTTACATTAGAATAAAAATAAAATGTCCGGGATACAAATCGCTGGTTTGGTGCAAGACTATCCTAAGTCCATTTTTAAAGAATTGAAGAAAAACACTATTAAACATTTCTATTTATTGTAACTAAATTGTTTTTTGCATAATTTGTATTTATTAATCTTTGGATGTAAAACCTTCCAATTTTTTAAAGAATGACGCAAAAAACAAGTAGTAGTAGTAAATATCTTTATTGGAATAAACCAAAAGGCTAATGACCGAGGTCTTTCTGCCCATATAAATACATTTATATTTTAACAATAAATTTGGTAAAAAATTATTTGACATAATTATATATATATATAAAAAAAAGAAACAATATTTAATGGACTTGAAAATCTAAGATAACTTTCCATAGGGTCTTCTTTGGGAATTTTCTTTTTATTAGATTACCTTCCGAGTCTGGAAAAATGAAGGGTTCAATAATATCCAAATTTGAGGTTGTATTGCTGAATTTACAAAAAACAATTTAGTAACAATAAATAGAAATGTTTAATATTGTTTTTCTCCAATTCTTTGAACATGGACATAGGATAGTCTTGCACCAAACCAGCGAAATAGAGTATGATATTGGACATATGTCAAATATTAGAAATTTACATTTTTTACCAACCAGTAATTGAACACTGGCCATTTTACTGTTTGTTTTTAGAATTAAAATTAAAACGCATTAAATTGACAATGTTTAAACCATGAGGAACACATTTATACCACACACTCGGTCTGTACACTTTTTATAAATATTTTTTATTATTATTTAAACACTACCACCAAAGTAAAGTGCAAACTTTTTTATCCTATAGGACAAAAAAGTTCGCACTTTATACAGTAAAAAATAATGGTAAAATTACGGATAAAAATATGTAATATATTTACATAAAATATATGGTGTTTAAAATATATTTGGTAAAATTACGGATAAAAATATGTAATATTTACATAAAAAATATGGTGTTTCAAATAAACGCATAAATTATTACGGTTATTGAGTGATTTTACTGAATACATTCTGTAAAGGTAAATATTTTACAGAATAAAACGTTGGCTATTCTGTGGCCAACGTAATATTCTGTAATTTTTTCTTACTGTGCAAACGCATAAATTATTACGGTTATTGAGTGATTTTACCGAATATATTCTGTAAAAGGTAAATGTTTTACAGAATATTACGTTGGTTACTATGTGGCCAACGTAATATTCTGTAATGTTTTTTACTGTAATATATTGGACCCAAAATAAAGTAGTTCTATATTTATACCGACTGAGATATTTATAATTGTTTTAACAGTATTAATGTTAATTGAGGAGCATTCGTGCAAAACCGGCTATATCCACTTTAATAAAATGTTGGGAAAATGGCAAAAACTCTTGGTTTCCTGGCATTTACAGATAAAAGAAAAAGCAAACTTGAGTTTTGTGGGCTTTGTAGTACCTACTTGATTTATAAGACATACTTTCGTTTTCAAAAACTTTATATTAAGGCCAAAATTTCAAAAAATGTTTTGGATATAGCCGGTTTTGCTCGAAAACCGAATAAAATGTGAAAAAAAACCTTTATTATTCAAAAATATTAACAAAATAAATTTAGTGCAAACATGAAAAAACAGAACAAATTTTAGTAGTAGTATCGACATATTATTTATTGGATATAGCCGGGTTTGCTATAAAAACGTTTATAAAAACCTTTTAAATGTGATTTTAACATGGATATAGTCGGATTTAAACAGAATTATCTTGGTTGTCGATAGAAATGAACCCAAAGATGCGAAATCAAAAAAAAACCAAAACTGAATAAAATGGATTTAGCCGGTTTTGCACGGATGCTCCAAAATTGTCCAATAACAGTAAAGTATCCGATAACTGTCTACTTTACCCTATTGCTACTTATGCATTAAGTGTAAAAGAAACTCCCCTTACTCGGCCATATACGACCCAACCTCCTCAAAGGCGTAAAAATAACATACTTATTATTAAACGAAAGTAATTAATTGATGGCACCTCAAAAACGATTTTTTTCGTTCAGATCAACTTCGAATCGACAGTTGAGCACCCCAACCAGCGCGACAGACCGAAATGTTTGAGCGTGCAGGTGACCAGAGCAACCATAACGAACGTGCGCAGCTTGGAACAATCCTCCCGCGCAGATTTGGCGAAGTGCGTCGACTCGTTTCACATGGGTTCGCTTTTTTTCGGGACGGAATTCCCCTCGAAGCCGGGCGACTTCTACATCGTCACGCAAAAGTTCTTGGACCACATCTCGGCCAACGACAACGTCAGGGGCTTGCCCAACGAAATCGACGCTTTGGTAAGCAGTATACACTCACGTGCAAAATAATCGATCCACACAAATTTTCGATGAATTTCAATCGCAAATAACTTTTTTATTTGATGTCGGACTAAAATATTAAAGAATATTGTAGATAAATTAATAGACAATCGCTCACATTTTAAAAAAATACTAAAAAATAGACGTACGTTTATAATATACAGGTTTAAACAAAAAGATGTTTTTTACCATAACTTTAAGACACTCTGTAGAGTGGCAAAACCGTATATTGTTCTAAATTAAGTTTTATTTATCAAGTCACATCTATTCTTAACAGTTTTGTTTTTGGTTCACCTCGATATATTTATTTTTGTGGAAAATATGGATTTTTTTAAGAAACATTGCAATTTCCAATATTTTTCCATGTATGAAGAACTGAGGTTTCCATGGTCCATCCATAGCCTATGGAGAATGATAGTGACAGTTTTGTTGAATCATCCCATACTTGGACATGTCATACACGGCTTTCAAAAGCTATCAAATTGTTTTTTGTAAATTAATGTGTTAATTTTGAGGTGTCTTCTTACGTTTAAAAATGCCTCCGACTGATGTTGCCCTTTGTACTTTACTTCTTATGACCTTTAAAACACTTGCCACGTAATACTGTGACCGTCCATCCTGGATTAAATTAATGGCTCTGGCAACATCATTCGGAGACATATCCATTTTATAAAGTAAGAAGACACCTCAAATTTTAAACATTAATTTGTAAAAAACAATTTGATAGCTTTTGAAAGCCGTGTATGACATGTCCAAGTATAAGATGATTTAACAAAACTGTCACTGTCATTCTCCATAGCCTATGGATGGACCATAGCAACCTTAGTTCTTCATACAGAAAAATATTCGAAATTGCAATGTTTTTTTTAAAAATTCCATATTTTCCACAAAAATAAATATATCGAGGTGAACCAAAAACAAAATTGTTAAGAATAGATGTGACTTGATAAATAAAACTTAATTTAGAACAATATACGGTTTTGCCACTCTACAGAGTGTCTTAAACTTATGGTAAAAAACATCTTTTTGTTTAAACCTGTATATTATAAACGTATGTCTATTTTTTAGTATTTTTTTTTTTAAATGTGAGCGATTGTCCATTAATTTATCTACAATATTCTTTAATATTCGTTTAAATCCGAAATCAAATAAAAAAGTTATTTGCGATTGATTTTCATCGAAAATTTGTGTGGATCGATTATTTTGCACGTGAGTGTATTATAATAACACTGTGATAGTTTTATAAACTTTTTTTCCTAACAAAAAATACTCCAGCTTAGTTTAACTAATTTTGGGCCGCTGATTTCAAAAATGTCATTCGTTTTTCTCTAGGACGTCTAGGATTTAAAACAATTTCGTAATAAAATGCTCGGCTCAATCACCTCAAAATGTAATTTTCTTGTTTGTATTTTAATTATTTATTAAATTATTTTTGCTTAAATTTATCTTGAATGTACTAAATACGGCAAATAGATCATATTTTAATGTATTTTATGTAAAAAACAACCATTATTTGAAATTTTTTGTCGTTTATTTTAATTATTAAATTGAAAGAGCAACAAAGTAAACAAGTTCAGTATTGTTTATCCAAATTAAGCACTCAAAATTTAATGCATTGCATAATTTTGCTTTTTTCTACCTTAAATTTATTAAATCGTATCAAATATCAAATTAGATTATAGTATTATTGTGCTTAATCCTCATCATCGTCGTACATCTTTTGCTGCAAATTCCAGCAAATGTCTCCCACCAATGAATCCAACTTCTTTCCGCTATACTCATAGATATCTACTTGGTGAAATCGTTCTCCATGTTTATCAGTTCGGCAAATTTATCAGGATGAAAAAAAAACAATGTATTTTAAATGACATATTAACGCTAATTCTTTGCAAAACGGAAAGCATTTTTTCAATGAATTGGCGCCAATTTTAGGCCCGATATGTACCAAGAACATTTTCAATGACAGCTTTAACACTGCCATATGCGACAAGCTCGTCAACTTTGGGAGCATTTTTGAATGCTTGATCTTTCATTAAACGTCGTATTTAATATTTTTGCAAAATTAAAGTAGTAGGCATATCTCATAAAAAATTTTGAAATGAAATATTGCGTTGGTTTTTCTTGGGCGTAAAGGTACCGCAACAAAAACAAAACAAATTTACGACGACATAAATGTTCGTCTCCTTTCTCTTTCTCTGCCACTACCATTACCACTTCCATTTCCTGCTCTTTTTTAATTTTTGGTTCTTAAAATTACTTTCAAGTAAAAATACAATTTAAAGTTTAAATTTTAAATGTCACTTTAGTGTGCTTGAACAATAAAGTAGATAAAGGCGCCTTTATACTTCAATTCGATATTAAATTTTGACAAGACTTAATACATAAGATTCGAGATTAAATTTTTGGTTACTTTAGGCATGATGTGAATAAAAACATATCAAATAATAGTCGAAAAGTAATGCTTATACCGAACCCATTTACTTTGTTGCCTTTTCAATTTAATTAGTAATTAAAAAAACGACACAAAAATTTCAAAAAATGATACTTTTTACCAAAAAAACATTATAATTTTAGTTTTGGTATTTAATAAAGCACTTCTCTGCAGAAAAGTGCTTTATTAAATATCCCTAATACTACTATAGTATACAGCTACAATGGAACAAACAAAATTTCTATTTGACATTTATTTACCGATGACTTTGTATGGAGTCCCTGTATATTTTTGACAAAAAACGTCAAAAATATACTGAACATCCAAAATAGATTTAAGGCAAAATAATTTAATAGATAATCAAAATATCAACAAAAAACTTTTTATTACGCAATTGTTTCGAATCCTAGACTTCCTGGAGCAAAAAGAGTGGCATTTTTTAAATCAGCAGCCCAATATTAGGTAATATAGGTGGGCGCACAATCCACGCAACAAGGTCTGTTCTATCTTGTACTAAAAATACAAAAAATCACTGCAACACTGCACAGTTTAACGGCGGCCATTTTTGTTGTTTACAATTTTTGTGCTTTGGATTTGTGCTCTGTTTATACAAATTAATAATCGTTTTAAACGTTGTGTTTCTCATAGTAAGCCTTAAAAGAGTCCTTAAAGTGCTAAGAACAACCATTTTACTCGTCTATTGTAAAAAATAAACTTCTTCTATCAGGGCTGTCATAAAACTGTCAAATGTCAATTTTAAGGTTAAATTATAACCCAAAAATTAACCTTCAAATTGTCATTTGACAGCCCTGATAGAATAAGGCATATTTATTATAAAAGAGAAGTAAAATGGTTGTCCTTAGCACTTAAAGGCCTTATTTGAGGCTTACAAGTGCCTCTGTAAGAAACACTACGTTTAAAACAATAATTAAACAGCACAAACCCAAAGCACAAGAATTGTACACAACAAAAATGGCCGCCGTTAAACTCTGTGCAGTGTTGCAGTGATTTTTAGTATTTTTAGCATGAGATAGAACAGACCTTGTTGTGTGGATTGTGAGTAAATCGAACTATCATAGTGTAATGACGAATTTAATACTTCGTTAGAATCACCAGTTCACGCGGGAGTTGCTATGGACGGAAGCCAAAGACGTGTGGTGCGCGAACTTGGACCCGGTTTGGGCCGACTTCGTGGGTTCGCGCGCAGCCGTGAGACCGGTGCCGTTTTTGGACGCCGTTCCCGTCACGGTGTGGCTGCACTCGCACATGGACCCCAACTCGACGATTCGAGGCAACGGCAACCCCGGTCGCGGCAACAACGCCGACATACACGCGCTGGCTCACGTTGCGAATCTCGTCAGCGTGCAAATCAACCATTATCAGTACTTGTTTTTGCTGAGGTTGGCCGAAGAGGCGGCCGAGATGGCCACGTTCTTGAGCATAGATTCCAGCAAGATTTTGAAGGTACGGTGGGTTTTTGCTTAGCACCAAAATGTCACTGAACATGTCTTTTTTTACTTCCGACACTGAAAAATTGGTTCTTAGGCACCTCTAGAAAGTGGTCACCAAATTTGAGCTCTTAATATTATTAGGAAGATCCTCCTCATCAAAGTTTTCCATTTTTTTAGTCCCTTTAAAAAAAACATTGCATTATTATTTAATCGTTTAGCAAATCTTTAAACATATTTTTGTAGGAAATTAAATGCTCTATAAAAAAGAACTAATGTGTTTATGTTTAAAAGATATTCAAGATCAAAATTTGAAGAATTAATTAAACAATTTTTTTTTAATAATTATGTATTTCATTGAAAAATATATATTGTCACATATTTTTGTAGGAAACGCTCTACAAAAAAGGTCTGATGTGTTTAATTGATTACTCTAACCATTTCAAAGATATTCAAGATCAAAGTTTGAAGAATTTATTAAATTTTTTTTTAATAATTATGTAATTCATTAAAAAATAATTATTGACAAATGAGTATGGCATATTTTTGTAGGAAATTTAACGCTCTACAAAAAAAGTGTGATTACTTTTACAGTTGAGAATATATTCGTATCAGTGCGCATTAATAATAATAATAATAATAATATATTTATTCCTTCAACAAAATACATTGTATGGAACATGTCAAGCAGTTGCAGGGGCAGGGGTACAAGATCAAATAAATACATATAAAATTAAAAAAATATATATAAAAATTCACTAGATAGCAATACATAAAATATTTGAAAATAAGATAAAACATAGGTATAAAAGTTAATCACATTAAAACTCAAGTACCTATGTATATCTAAAAATAAAATTGTGTGACCTGTCATAACAATGACAGGTCACACAACTATTCATTGGCAGAATAGTAAACTTTATTGGGAAGTATAGTTTTAATTTTTTTTATTTCAAGAATTTTTAAATAAAATAACATTTTGTATGTTATACACCTTGTTATATCAATTATTAGGTAAGATATATCTTTTCTTTTTAAAGTTATGTTATTAATAATTATGCTTGATTGTTGCTTAATCATTTTGAAAATATATTTTTTTTGCTTTTAAGGTTTTATTTACACTAGAATTTGTTTAAAATAAGAACAAAAATTTATTATTTATAAAAACATTCTAAGCATATGTTTAGAGTAGACTAATTTTTACCACTAAAACTTTACACCTTCTAAGAACCTGCCTGTAGGCCAGTAAGAATATTCTTAGGATCATGCTATATGTCTTTTAAGCATGTTCTTTAGAAGATCCTAAGAATATTCTCACTGCAAGGTTTAAAAAACATTCTTAGAATAAAATGTGCTATCAGGGATAAACGTGCCTTCAATAAACTAAAGGCCCTATAAAGGCTTACTCTAATGGAACTGTACATATTATGTCGCGTTCACCTTTATTGGGCATGTAACGGTAGTTAATAAAGGCACTTTAGTCATTTTCAAAATCCTTGTACATTTAAAGAAGAAAAAGGAAAAACAAAACATAATATACAATACAATACAATACCTAAAAGTGGGCAGTTGGATTTTTTTAAATAAGCCCTTAGAAAAGAAAAAAGAAAAAAATGGTCCCCTGGGTCACAAATTTACTAACATATTAAAAAAATTTATATAACAATGCTTAATCATTTGAAAATATATTTTTTTGCTTGTTAATAATCGTTTTAAGGTTTTATTTACACTAAAATTTGTTTAAAAAAGAACAAAAATTTATTATTTATAAAAAAATTTAAGTAAAAGCAAAAACTATGTTCTATTTCTCAACTTTCTTACATACATAAGTATTTTTAATATATTTCCTGTATTTAAAAAATGTCCATTAAGTTTAAGAAATTTTCTTTTAATCTGTATTAAAAACGTTTTTTCTCGATTTTTTATCTGGGCCCAGCTTGTCCAATTTAACGAGCAATAAATTAATAAAAAGTTTTAGTTAATAAAATAATAATAATAAAATAATATTAAAAAGTCAATATAAACATTGTTTTGATGAACTACCAAAAAATTTTTTCCAGCTTCTTTGAGGCAAAATACATTGACTAGAAAATTTACCATTAAAAAGGTGGAGGACATTATTTTAAATTGGCTACACACTGTCAGAAACAAAAAAGATGGAAGGTCGAAAAGTTTTAAAACGTTCCTGTAAGTTTATTATTATTTTAAAAATTTATTATAATCCATTTCTTTGGAAACTCAATTTTTTATAAAACATTAAACTTGAGGGACAGCAAATGTACAAGAAATTTGAAAATAACCCATGCATATTCATAAGACAAACTTTTACGTTTGAATTGAAACCACTAATTTATTCCACTAATTTTGAGACCTTTTTTGTAGAGCCTTAAATTTCCTACAAAAATATGTCATACTCATTTGACAATAATTATTTTTCAATGAGTTAAAAATTGTTTTAATAAATTCTTCTAACTTTGATCTTGAATATCTTTTAGATGGTTATAGTAATCGCTTTTTTGTATTTCCTACTAAAATATGTATAAATATTTGATCAAACGAATATGGTCTTTTTTATAAGGGACTAAAGAACAAAATTTCTAGGTTGACAGCAATGGTTCCATTGTAATGGGAGCATTGGTGCCTCAAGTGGAAGTGACGTTTGTAATGCCATCCCAGACCCCTGGAAAAGAATCATCAGGTGGCGATGTGGAATCCTTTGTGCCTGATTCATCCAGCATAGCGGACGATATGCTTGTCGGTACGTATCGAACGCGATTTCGCGTGGACCATTTTTGAAATTAAAACGTGCAGGTTCGAACGCCACGGTGTGGCAGAACAGCACGCTGTCCATCACGCAAAACGACGGGGCGAAAAAAATCGCCAACGGGAGCGGCACCCATCTCGAACTCAGTACCAGCTACTCCATGGATTTCGCTCAGGAAACTCCGGACCCTAGGGGCGTCCTAAACAGGGACTTGCCGCCCCCAATGGCCAACGCACCCTTCCAGAACAATTTCAATGCAGGTGCGTGCGATTTAATTCCATTTTTATTGCAGCTTTACTTTGTGATAGTTGGTCTTGAGATAATGAAGCTTTATGTTAATTTAGGCTTTAAAGTATTAAAGCGTTTTCAATTATAATAATAATAATCTCTTTATTCCTGCGACAAAATACATTGTATGGAATATGTCAATTAGGGTGATTCATTTCCGCAAAGTTTTTGTTTTATTCCGTGCTCAAGCAAAATATTAATCTGCATATAGAAAAAAAAATTCTCAACAAGTTTGAGCTCTTAATATAAATTTTAAGTACTTACTATTTAAATTTAAAGTTTTACCGTTTAAAATGCATGTAAAAAATATATTTTTTTTTTCAAATTTCTAATGCTCAATGCTCAATATTGCAAATCGGTTTAATACACCTTATGGGGAATTTCACGCTCTTTAAAATTGCTTTTGAGTTTTTTTTGTAACTCGCATTGGTTCAGTAGGAGTCGTCAAAGGACAGTTTTTGAAAAAAATCGTTTTTTTTTAATTTTTTCTAACAAACCGCAAAAAGTAGGGAGAAAAAAGGGCTGAATCATAAAAAAAAGTTATCCAACCAATATTTAATGAATTTACTGCCATTTTTATAACTGAAAACGTAAGAAATTGATAATTACCAACTCATAATGTTATTTAGATTGACACACAAATTGCTCCCAAGGACAGCGATAGGATTCCCCTTTTTAGCCCTATGGTGGTTTTATCGAAGCTGTATAGCTGCTGTTAAAGCAAATAGGTTTTAACTAAGCAATACAATTACCCTTAACAGTATTATGGAGCCCTTGCATACCTTAAAAAAACTATTTTGCTACTTGGCACGTGATTCTTTTCAGGCTTCTCCTCGATGCGCAAAGGGTTCAGTAACCTGATGTCGTCGATAGATAGCGCTCTGAAACCGAGCCCGGACGACGCCAGCGACACCATGTCGATTCAAAGCAACGAATCGAGCGATTCCGAGAGTTACGTGCTCATAAAAAACATAGAGGCGGACGTGGTGGGATCCGATCTCATGTTTCTGGTAAACGAGTTTTCTTACGAGGCCCAAGCGAACGTCGAAGTCGCTAGCGAGGTTCTGGAGGAGGAAAATACCATAACCACCACTAGTGATCATTCTTTGACCAGTAGTTGCAGACGAAAAGATTTGGTGAGTTTATTATTAATAGATCGGCCATTTCAAGCGCGCGAAACTGTTTTTATAAAAAAAAATTGTACAAAATTTTTTATATAATATTTTAGCACCAAATTTGTCAAAAATATTCTTCTTTTATTAGGCTATACCGTAAACACGGGTGAATTAACATTTATAATTTGTTGGTCTAAACCTGTCAATTGAGCGATTCTATTGAGTTTACATTACAGAAAAATCAGTGTTTTAAAAAAATAAATGGGATTTATTACACTTTAAAGTTGTATATATTGCATTAGTGCAAAACTCTTAAAAATACACGCGTTTCAATTTCTATATTATGCGCAATTCTTTGGAATGATGATCCTTGGTTAACTACAGGTCGATTTTTTATTGTTTTTATCGGTAATCCCTTGCAATTGCTATATGTCGCTGCTAACATATGTCCAATAAAAATAAAATAAAATATTGAGTTAATTTTATACGGAAAATACACTGTGAGACAAAGTAACCCGCAACCAGGGGGTAACTTTGCACACCCAATTTTTAATTTTAATTTTTGAAACTCAGCCATTTGTAAGATTAAAACATAGTTATTATGAAAGAGCAACTCAAGACTCAAATTTTGGCATACAATATTTAATGTTTATGATTGTTAAAATCACAAAAATGTTAAGATTAAGTTTGAAAGTGAACTAAAGCCACCCGTGTTTACGGTACATTAAATAAAGAAAACGCAAGAAATATTTTGTAAAAGTAGAGATAATTTAAATAATTAAAAAAAAAAGATTTATCTTGTCCCATTCACACAATTAATAACATTATCTCTACTGTTATAAAATATATGGGTGATTCTACAAAAGTTGGTCAACTTTTGACCTCATTTTGTTTATGTAGTTTTCGGAGAAAATTAAACAGTATTTTGTTATGAGAACATAGATAATATAATAAATATACTACTCCAGACCGGCTCAGTCACTTTTTCAAACAGTTTCCGAAATATCTGTGTTTTCTAAATTTGAAAGCAAGGGAAGTGACGAGTATACCCGGGTACCAATTAAATAATAATAATAATTTATTGGAAAATATAAGATTTATTGCAACTTTGAGCATATTATACATTAAATAACTTAAAATCAAATAATACCACACATCAGTGGCGGCTGGTGGATTTTGGGTATACCGATATCTCAATTATTAGTTATGGAACCCACACCAAATTTATATGAGTTTATATTGACATTAAATAAACAAGTTCTGCGCAAGCAGAATTTAAATTGAAGTTTGCGAAAAAAATATATCCGAAACATCGAACATGGAACTGACGACACGGTACTGATGAATGGGATACAAATTTGAGATTATAATTCGGAATTAAGTATTTTACTGATATTTTTTATTAGTGGATGCTACTTTTCAACAAATCACATATAGCCTTATATAAATTACAATAAAATATATATACGTAAGAAAATAACTACCCACCACAGTACTGAAATTTTGAGTGGAACTATACGTGCATTCACCACAACTTCGCCGCTTGCATTGTTTTCAAGATGACTGTCGTGCAAAGGGCGGGCTCTGTAGGTAATTTTTTACCAACACTTGAGTTTAAACGAGGACTTGACATTTAAACTTAAATATTTCGCAGGAATTTTGAATTTTAACATTGGACTGGTAAAAGTGAGTACAAAGATTATCTTTTTTTTTTAATTGCTATTATTCGAATCTATGATAAAATATGAAAAATACATTATTTAATGTTTTATAGTTTGTAGTAAAATTGAAAAAGTTAAGATAAAATGAATATAATTTAAAATAAAATCACTCAAATATTTTATTCAGGAGTTGGGACACACCAAGGTACTGATGTTTTGAATAGTTATTATGTTGTTCTACAAAAGTGCTTTTGAAAAAATACATTAAAATTGGGTGAACAAGTTAAAAAAAACTGGATCTTTTGTAATATACTAAAATATTTACAAAAAATATTAAAATACCTACTCTATTGACTGATGACATCAAGTTGTCCAACTTTTGTAGAATCACCCATATCTTGTTTTTTTATTTAATGTATAGCCTAATAAAAGAAGAATATATTTGACAATTTTGATTCAAAAATTACCCTGTATATTATTTCAACATTTGAAATGTTACATTTCACTTCTATAGCGCAGTGTACGATTCCAAGTTCATTTTTCTTCTATAGGTTTCTGTATCTACGTTCAAGTTGAACAAAGTTGAGTTTTTGCAACAATCCCAAGGATATTCTTCTTCAATCAAAATACAAGTCGGAAGCGTCTCGAATGAAGACTGCAGTAGTATCCCCTGGGATGAATTTCAGGTATGATATATAAATTTTCTTCACTTTTGTTTAACGAATATGTAAGTCCAGCTCAGATTTCTACTGATCTAAAACATTCAACACAGCATTTACCATGATAAAAATAATTGTTTTCAAATATAAAAATGTAAAAAAGCATTGTTTATATCACTGTATTATACTTTGTGTCCCAAAAGGATTTTTGACCAACCCACCCAACTTTTACTACTGTCACATTTTGATTTCTCTTTTTAAATATTTTTGCATGCTGTCTGAATGTGTGTTTTTTGGTTCAGGCCAAAATCAAGGTATTGAAATAACAAATTCATTAATTATTGCATCTATCAAAGTTTTGTAAATTCCTATTTTCTAAATTTTATATAACATTTTATAGTATTTTTGTCATACATGTTAAAATTGGAAATAGGAAATTTTAAAATGTTTAGCATATTAGGAAAAACACCTAAAACCTATTATTTGGCATGCGTTTTAGTCATTTTTGATTTTTTTAACGTTTTTTGTTACTTTTCACTTAGCATTTAAAGAGTAACCTAGTAACATATTTTGGACAAAATGTATTTTTTGACAAATTTAGTTAATAAAATGCGACATTTGAATTGAGAATGTGGCAACAGAAATACTGCGATTAGTTCCTCCTTCCTTTATCAATGCGCATGTCCAAAGCATGCTAAACTTATAATAATTATTGTCTAATAATTTGTTTTTAATAAAAACTTTTTATTGTTCCACAGTAAAAAGTTTTACAAACATGTTCTAATGATTTTTACTGCTTGTTTTTAAAACACAAAAAAATCTGATTCGTCTAACACAAAAAATGTTAATAAAAAATCAAATTCTAGCTTTTACTGTAGATTGATTTTTGCTGCATTTGCATGATCCCCATTTACACCAAACCATTTTTATCTAAATTAAAAAAAAACATTAAAAAAATAAAGAAAGTACTGATAGAATCTAGCAAAATAGTGTAGGTATTAAGGTGATTCTAAAAAATCGAATATTTTTTTACTTTCGATACTGAAAAATTGGTTCTTAGGCACCAAATTTGAGCTATATATTAAAATAGGAGTATCCTTCTCATCACAGTTTTCCATTTTTTCTTTAGTTCCTTATAAAAAGGTCATATTTCATTATTAATCAAGTTTGAAGAATTTATTTAAAACAATTTTTTTTTATAATTTTGTAACTTATTGAAGAATTATTGTCAAATAAGTATGACATATTTATGTAGGAAATTAACGCTCTACAGAAAAGGTCTAATGTGTTTAATTGATTAATTTAACCGTTGAGAAGATATTCGTATTAGTACGCGTTGGGATTCGGATACGAATATCTTCTCAACGGTTAAAGTAATCAATTAAACACATCAAAGCTTTTTTGTAGAGCGTTAAATTTCCTATAAAAATATGTCATACTCATTTGCCAATAAGTATTTTTTAATGAGTTACAAAATTATTTAAAAAAATATTTTTTTTCATAAATTCTTCAAACTTTGTTCTTGAATATCTTTTAAATGGTTAGAGTAGTCGCTTACCCAGATAGCACAAAGGTATACTATGGACGTCCAATGGACGTATGCTCGTAGACGTCTGTATGTACATAGGATGTCCATTTATTTTCTATGGACGTCCCATGGACATCCGTTTAGAGTCCAGATGTCACAACTTTGGACATCCATAAGTCGTCCACTGATGGACGTCTATAAGGTGTTTGAACCATTCCTCCAGCATCAAGGACCTGCTTTTTTGCTTACTTTAACTGTTTTTGCGACTGTATTTTCATTGCGATGTTGCAGAAAATTTTCTACAACATAACTGAAATGCCTTTTGTCTGGCTCAGTAACAATCCCACTAGGAATATAAATATTCTAAAAGTTGTTAAAAGTTACAACATTCAATGTTGAACATGGCAGGAAATCCTTGTATTCGACTCAGGAACATTACATTTGCAATACTACAAGTGTTTAAAATTTCATTGATAGCTTAAGTCCTTTATAGCACGCGCTTGCTTGAATGTCAGTGAGATTGATCATAACTGTTGTTATGCAGCCAACAATACGTTTTAACTTGCATTTCTGTAATAATAATTATGGACGTAAAATGGACACTATATGGACGTCCATTAAAATCGTACAAAGGATGTAAATATATGGACGTACATAGTACATCCATTTTTAGTCCGTGGACCAATGTACTTAAAATGGATCTTAAACGGACGTCCATTGGACGAATGGTGCTATCTGGGTAAACACTTCAGTCCTTTTTTGTAGAGCATTTAATTTCCTACAAAGTATGTATAAAGATTTGATTAAACGATTGATTAATAATGAAATATGGTCTTTTTTATAAGGGACTAAAGACAAAATTTGTTGAGCACTTTCCAGAGGTTCCGGAAATAAAAAAATATTCGATTTTTTGTAATCACCCTAGTAGGTCTAGTATAGATTTGTACGTAACTTACTACAGTATAGTGTATTTCATTAATTTTGTAGTAAGGTATTTAAAAGCCTTATAATTCGGTGTTCCAATCATAAAAAATCTCGCTTTCGCAGAGCAAATTTAGCACGCGTTCTCGCGCTTGGACCGACAATCCTCAGAACGCCGCCGCCTCGTCAAAGGTCAAACTAAGACTCGACCACACCCTATCGCTGCCGTCGTCGAAGTCCATGATGCAAATGGACTTCACGGATCGCTATAACATGAAGCACATATTCAAAGATCTAGTCACCATCGAAATCAGCGACATCTCATTGGATCTGAACATGTCGACTGTCACCGGATTGGCCGATCTGGCCGAGGACGAGGTCATACCCATACCAATACCAGTTCAGGTAAAAATGACGTTTTGACTTCGCAAAATGCATTTTTTTGTTTTTAAAGTGTCTTAAATCGTAACAAACGAATATTATTTTTGACGTTTCTCAAATGTCAACTTCAGTCGCGAATGTCAGGGATTTCGTATTTTTTCTTTTACTCTTCAGATTTCCGTTGAAAACCTGAGAGTTCATTTGAACGAAGATCGTCCCCCGGTAAATATTACGTCACCAGGCCCTATTCCGATCGACTTGAACGTGAGCGAGTTGTACATCACCCGGGCGGAAGATGGCGCTTTCAATATTTTTCCGAAGAAGGCGATGGCGAATTCCACGTCCTCATTGGTCGAAGGTAAGTTTAAGGGAAACCGGGAGGATGTCTTTACCCGGCAAACACAACCGTAAAGGTTCTATAATGGCCCTTTATGAAAGTGCCTTTAATGAACTAAAGGCCCTATAAAGGCTAACTTTAATGGAACTGTACATATTATGTCGCGTTCACCTTTATTGGGCATGTAAATTCTTGTACACTTAAAAGAAGAAAAAGTTAAAACAAAAACATAATATACAATACTGTTTTTTTCAAATTTTGTTTATTTAGGGGTGTTTTTAGCACCTAAAAGTAAGCAGTTGGATTTTTTTAAATAAGCCCTTAAAAAAGAAAAAAATGGTCCCCTGGGTCACAAATTTACTAACATATTAAAAAAACTTATATAACAATGCTTAATCATTTTGAAAATGTATTTTTTTGCTTGTTTAAGGTTTTATTTACACTAGGATTTATTTAAAAAATGAACATTTAATATTTATAAAAAAATGTTGAGTAAAAAACCAAGTAAAAGCAAATATATTTTTTCTACCCCCACCTTTAAAACGCCCTTTATCGTACATGTTTCCATGACACTAAGTGACCTTTTAAATACACATTGACATGTCGCTTTAGTCACGGACTGAAGTTAGCAACAGGTTTTAAGTCACATGTTTTAATTTAGTTGACAGTTGTCAACTGTCATACAATCGTTAAAATAATTTGCATTTCTTGTAAAATAATACTAAATGTGAAAATTATTATATTATCTCAATACAAAAATACAAAAGTATTAAATAGTTTCTCAACGCCAATATTTGAAAAGTTTATATAAACATTGTACTGACCTTTTAATTTCGCCGGCAGTAAACTATAACTTAAATTCGGGCACGGACTCCAGTGTAAAGTGCTCATAAAACATTTTTTTTACTTTCACTGTGAAAAACTGTCAATTTTCAAGAAATACATTTCGATTTATAACTTTTATAATTGTGTTTATAAAATGTAAAAATTTGGCATTTGACGGTGACACACAGATTCCCCTATCGTTTCATAGATGGCGCTCTATACAAATTTTTGATTTAAATCATTTTAAGATAATTAAATTTAATTAAATTCGTGTATAAAATGGCGTTTATCAAACTTGATACATATTATACTATTCTGTATTTAAAAAATGTCCCTTAAAAAAAGTGAGTTTAAGATTTTTTTTTTAATGCGTATTAAAAACGTTTTTTCTCGATTTTTCATCTGGGCCCAGCTTGTCCAATTTAACGATCAATAAATTAATAAAAAGTTTTAGTTATTAGTAATATTAATAAAATAATAATAAAAAGTCAATATTAACATTGTTTCGTTGAACTACCAAACAATTTTTTCAGGCAAAATACATTGACTAGGAAAATTATTATTAAAAAGGTGGACGACATTATTTTAAATTGGCTACGTACTGTCAGAAACAGAGAAGGTGGAAGGTAAAAAAAAATGTTTTTATAACTTTCCTGTAAGTTTATTATTATTTCAAAAATATATTATAATTTATTTCTTTGGAATTGTCCCCTGGGTCAAATAACTTTTCCCTGGGTCGCACAATATGTGATCCTGGAGAGGTGGGACCCAGGGGAAAAATGTATGTTTTTAGAACATATAACATATACATATATATTTTCAAAAGAAAGTATTCCAGTAATAGTTATATGATATAACTATTACTGGAATACTTTCTTTTGAAAATCAAACAAAGTCCAGCTGGTACCTTTACTACTTTTTATTACTTTGACAAAAGAGAATGCACAATTTTGCCACGCTGGTATAAAAAATACAAAAAAACGTGTTGTGGCTTCAAGATAGTTCAAAACACCATTTTCTACCAAAATATTAAATACATTGCCGCAAGGGGGAGCATTAAAAAATTTGCCCTTAATTCAAAAGGTCATTTATAAAAGCTCTGACCTAGGAGATGTGACCTAGGGGACCAAAATTAAGGGACAAACTTTAGGGATTATTTTAACCACTTGTATTTTTAAATATTACCACAAATGGGTTTTTTTCTGTAATATTTGAAATATTTTCTCAACTATATAGAAATGGAGGATGATATTTTACTCTTAGATGTTTAAATAGCATTAAATAGTGAATATTATTGCAAGTGGGACAGCTACTTTTCTGTACTGTTGGGGAAAGTTTATTTTTTTTTAATTTAAAATTAACTTGACTCCCAAAAATAAAAAAAACACAAGTTTTAACTGCTGCATGCGCGTCAAAACTGTAACCTCAAAAACTTCCAGCTGCACCCTCAAACTCTCTTCAAAAACAATCCTCCTCCGACCACGAGGAGCTCAAACGTCGTCTGCAAGCGTTCGAACGCGTTTCCGAGGAAAACCGTACGCTGCGAAAATCGAGGGAAGAAAACGAACTCCTCAAAACGTACCTCAAATCGTCGCAAGACGAGGTCGGGCGCCTTTTGGAGGAGAAAAACAAGCTGCTGGACGAGATTAAAAAAATGCAGCAGCTGTCGGTGGACAGAGGGTGGCAGTGGAACACGAAAAGATAGCAATGCTGTTTCGACTGCACTGCATGCTGCTCCAACTTCAAGGAACGTGGTGACTAGTCGCTTTTTAATAAATATAATTTAGCATGCTAGAAAATCTAAAAAATATCACGCAAATTCTTTTAATTCGTCGAGAAGCGCATTTTTGTTGGCGAATCCCACAAATATCATCAAAATCACGTTTATATTGCGGAAGTTACGAATTTTGGCCGCCAAGATACCCCGATTTGAGTTTATGTAACTTTTTTGTTTGCAGGGGGATTTTGATGAAGTTTTGAAGGTAGGTTTAATAAAAAAATATGTTTTTGTCTCTATAAATATATAACCACTTTTGGCAATGTCTTTTAAAAAAATTTAATATATTCCATCGGAAAACCATTCCCGATTTGAGTTTATGTTACTTTTTTGTTTGAAATTTTTAAGTATACTAAGAAAAATATATTTTGGTATTTATATATAAATATAAAACCACTTTTAACAATGTCTTTTAACAAAAATATTACAAAAATTATTTTATTTTCATAGGAAAGCGTTTTTTTGTTGAATCCTAAAAATTTCATCAAAATGACGTTTATATTGCTAAAGTGGTGATTTTTGGCCACCAATATGTCCTGATTTTACTTAATGTAGCTTTTTTATTTTTAGGGTGATTTTGATAAAATTTTAAAAGGAAGTATACTAAGAAAAATATGTTTTTGTCGTTATAAATATACATATAACCACTTATATCTTCTAACAAAAATATTACAAAAATTCTTTTATTTTCATCGTAATGCGTTTTTTTCTTGAATACCAAATATTTCATTAAAATCACGTTTTTTTGCGGAAATTGCGATTTTAGCCACCCAGATATCCTGATTTGAGTTCATGTAACTTTTTTATTTGGAAGGTGATTTTGATAAAATTTTGAAAAAAATATGTTTTTGTCGTTATGAATATAAAACCACTTTTGGCAAAACTTTTACTAAAATTCTTTTAATTTCATAAAAAAGCGTATTTTTATTGTTAAATCCTAAAAAAATTCATCAAAATCACTTTTATATTGCGGAAGTTTTGGCCACCAACATATCCTGATTTGAGTTTATGTAACTTTTTATTTGTATGGTGATTGTGATGAAATTTTGAAGGTAAAGTGTACTAAGAAAAATATGTTTTTATCGTTTTAATTATAAATCTAGTTTTTGGAATTTTTCTGTTGTCTTCTAAAAGAATATTACAAAAATCTTTTAATTTAATTGAAAAGCGTTTAATTTAATTAAAAATCATTTCTAGAAATTTTGTCAAAGTCACGTTAATATTGCGGAACTTGCGATTTTTGGCCACCAAGATATCCCGATTTGAGTTTATGTAACTTTTTTATTTGAAGGATGATTTTGATGAAATTTTAAAGGTAAAAGTAAATATACTAAGAAAATATGTTTTGGAGTTATAGATATAAAACCACTTTTGGAAATGTATTCTAACAAAAATATTAAAAAAATTCTTTTGATTTCATCGGAAAGCTTGTTTTTCTGGGTGGATCCTAAAAAGTTAACAAAATTGCGGAAGTTGCGATTTTAGGCCTCCAAGATATACCGATTTGAGTTTATGTAACTTTTTTATTTTAAGGGTAATTTTGATGAAATTTTAAAGGGAAGTTTACTAAAAAATATGTTTTTTATCATTTTAATCATAAAACCAGTTTTTAAAATTTTTCTGGTCTTTTAAAAAAATATTACAAAAACCTTTTAATTTTATTGAATTGAATTGGTGAATCCTAAAAATTTTGTGTCAAAGTCACGTTAATATTGCGGAAGTTGCGATTTTTGGCCACCAAGATATCCTGATTTGAGTTTACGTAATTTTTTTATTTATAGGGTGATTTTGATGAAATTTGGAAGGCATAAATATAAAACCATTTTTTAGATTTTTTCTAGCCATGTCTTCTGCAGCCTAGACCTATAATTTCTATTACAAAAATACTCTCTATAAGCTTTAAGGCTTGCTAGGTCTTGTAAAATAAGTTATATAAAAAAAAATCGTCATATTATTTGAATAAAAAGGTTTGATATCATACAAATCTTTTAAACTTGAATCTGTCTGTGGTTTTAGAGTGATGTTTGCACCATTTCTTTAAATTTTGCGGTTGGTTAATCATAATTATATAAAAGAAATTGAGTTCATTCTTAATGCTATTATCTAATATGTAGATATAAAAATTCCTATTTTATACGTAAGATTATCGAATATTTTTAGGCTAGGTAAAAAACAAATGGTTACGTATTTTTTTATTATTGGTTGTAAATTTTTGAGCACTTTTTATTTTCCAAGCACCATATAAGTACTTAGGGGTTTCAATATACAGGACAGTTGGAAAATATTGAAAAAACTGTTCTGTATTTTTTTATAATTGTACAAATTGCTGTACAATTATTATTAAGTTTATAATCATGTATATAAGAGTGTACGTAATAAATGTGAAATGCCAAAGAATTGTAAGAAAATTTCATATATCATTGTTTTAAAGAAATTAAAGGAGATTATTTATATATTTTATCTAAATTCTGTCTAAGTGTTTTTCCTGTAAGTTGGAGAAAGGATCCATCCAATATTGTGATTATTTTTTAGCTGGTTTTATTTTTTTTTAGTTTTTTATTAGATTTAATCATGCAATAAAATGTCATATATTATAGACTGTTATTTTTTGTAAGAATATGTAACAAATATGTTGTTTTAATAAATCAGTTTATGCATCAAAAAGACTTTTATTTATTACAATTTTATGAAAATTTGCATATTTGAGGGAGGATTCTTAGAAAATAAAAAACTCATTTATAAAATCTTGTATATTTCTTATTGAATAAAATCAAATATAATAATAAAATCGTTAATATGGTGTATTTATTATAATATTTATCCTACATGCCACATCAAAAAAAAATAAAATATACCTTAATACAACCTAATGATATCAAATAAATTAGTAAATATCTGCCTTTTATTTAAGCCTTGCTCTCATTCTCCCCATTGGGTGGGGAATTCTCGCTCCCAGATTCATACATATTCTTGTGTTTCAAAAGATAATTAGCAAGTGCGGTTATAGGTTCAGTCGGGCGCTCCTTGGCTAAATAGGACAACCCGTTCATTAAAACAGGCACAACAGTTTGATCCAAATATTGACGAGTAGGCAGTGAGCTCAGATCCACCCTGGATTTTTTCGACAAACTGTCCTGGCTGTCCATCCTTAATAGTCTCTAAAAAATAAGTTTAATTCAACATAACACAATTTAATCAATATAACTTTTATTATGGGTGATACACAGTCCATACTTAAACACAATAAAATTTTATGTGCGCTCCATGGTTAAAATAGCAAAAAAATAAAGAAAAACCTTATCAGTATCATAAATAACTAACCGCAATTTGGGGACCGCAAACATCCATACTTAACCTCAATAAATAACGATTTTGTCAAATCGCATAAATAAGAATTTTATGGTGAAATTTTACCTTTCTCTGTAAATTTGAATCACGTACGGGTTGCTAAATTAATATCACAATGGAATTTTCGCCTATTTGTTCGTTTTTTACTGTTTAAATGGGAGCAAAACGACTTTTGTATACTTCAAAATACGGTATTTTTGGATCGGATGATGTTGCCCGGAATTAAGTTTATATTGACATATTTACCATGAATAAACTGTTTTTAAACAAAATAATGCACAAAAATACTTTATAATGTTTTAAATGGGATTTATGCTTATCTATAATAGTCTTATAACCAAAATTTAAACAAAAATAAACAATATAATTAAAATTTACAACTGTGCGGGCAAGATAAATAGACGGTGTGTTTGCAGGTGCGTTCCGAAATACAAAATAGTTTTAATTTAATCATAAATTTATAAAATCAATACGTTAACCTTCAACTTTTAATATAAAGCTTTATTTATGATTTTAATTTTATAAAACGCTGTTTTAAGGCTAAAAACACTTAAATGTAGTATATGAAGTCTTGTAACGCATTCCGTCGATCAATTGTTTTTGAGGTTATGTTGCTTCCGCGTTAAACGTCATAGATGTCAATATTCACACTATATTTTTCGTTTTATTTTCTATTAAAAAGTTATAAAAACACACAAATGTATAATGAAAGTGAACATTAAAAGTAAGTTCTGCACACAACCGTAAAATTTCACAATTTTTATTGTGTTTTTGTTTTGACGACATTTAACGTGTTTGTATGTATTGTTCCAGATTGGAAGGGTGTAGCAAGTTGGAAATGGGTCGCAAATGACGATAGTTGCGGTATTTGTCGTATGCCCTTTGATGCTTGTTGCCCGGATTGCAAATTACCTGGAGACGATTGTCCCTTAGTTTGGGGTGAATGTTCACATTGTTTTCATATGCATTGCATTGTAAAGTGGCTGCAGTCTCAACCTGTTAATCAGCAGTGTCCCATGTGCAGGCAAGAGTGGAAGTTTAATAACAAATAAAATTAAGGTTAGTTGTTAATTTTTAAAAATATATTTTTACGGTGGTATTGATTTACATCCCTAGCTAACAGTCCATTATTCATCTGATTTCAGTAATAAAAATCTGAAAATCCGCTTATTTTACAATCTTATTTTAAAATCTTAATAAACTACATATAAAAAACTAAAGGGTCATAAATAAGATGTAAACTTGCATGAACCCATAAATAATGGCATATTTTCCCACATTCTTATTCACATTGCCTTGTCATTATAAAAAATGGTATGAATTATTATCCTACAGTGCAAATTTTCTCAATAGACTTCAAACTACCTATCTACTTGCAAAATTATGCAATTTTAAAAAAAATAATCTGGAGCAAACATTCTATAATTTTATATAATGCCTAGCCACTGCTGGTGTATAATTACTATTATAAATTATAATTTATAATTTACATAACATATTTCATGTGAAGATATTTGGGTATTTCAGGTATTTTTAAAACTTAATATTGTTTTATTTGAGTTTCACTTTCAGATTTTAATCTATTCAAATTTTTTAGTGTTTAGTATAGTTGATGTTTCAGGGTCAATTGTTTATTATTATTTTGTAAATAAGTTAATATTAATAGGTAATAATTAATTTTAACATTATTATTTATTTAGAAATATTTGAATAAAAATGTAATAATCGCAATCCACACAACAAACCCTGTTTTATCTTGTTTCGCGCATACTAAAAATCACTGCCACACTGCACAGAATCTAACGGCGGCCACTTTTATGTTTATACAGATTAAAAATTGTTTTAAACGTTGTGTTTCTTACTGAGGCACTTGTAAGCCTCAAATGAGGTCTTTAAGAACAACCATTTTAAACCTTATTCTATCAGGGCTGTCATCAAACTATAAACGAAGTGACTAGGTGCACGTTAGAGTGCCTGCAATTTATTTTTAACGGGCACGCTAGTGACGTAATAGATAAAAAACGTCATCACTGCCGTGCCGCTTAATTTAAAATTGGCGGCACGACAATAATGTAAATTGCTACCTGTATACATGTTTATAGGGTTTTTCTCAGATTTTATTCGTGAAAATTTTGTAATCGAACTTACAAAAATAGGAAGAAAATGTAGGTAGATATAAGAACTTTTAAGCTCTAAAGCTTTGTTTTTAAGATACAGGGTATTAAAGTTAATAAAAAAATATGGTTCTGTCACTTTATTGTAAGTTTAATATTATATCCAGATTTTTTCTGGGCAAATAAACAAATTTTTAATGATTAAGATGAGAAAGTTGTATTTTTTAGTTGCTTGAACCAAAAATAATATTGTCGTAGTAAGACAACTAACTAGCGGAGATTTTTTATCACAAAAAAGTTGCATTTTTGATTGTAACTTCTTTGTTTTTTATATTAACAAAAAAGTTACAACCAAAAACGCTACTGTTTTATCATAGAAATTCTATACTAAAAGGAAATAAAAGAACTGATCTTTAAAAAAGAAAAAGTTCCAACCTAACAAAACCACCTAAGTTCCATCTACAACCTAAACAAGATTTGACCCGACGAAAACAATCTAAAAAAAATAGAAAAGAGTGAGGGCCCTCCTCCTTTATCCGGGCTTGGGACCGGCAGGTTAAAAATACCTGGCGGAGTTACCCTCCACCCTCCTTATCATATTATCTTCCTAAAATTTCCTAAAACAGATAAAGTATTTAAATAAACAAAAACACGCAAAAAATAAATTTACTGGTTGTATACATACTCGCATATAAGATTCACTCGCACCCTGAAGTTCCAAGAAGTCCAAGATGTCCATGTCAGGTCCAAATGAAGGAATTAGGATAATAGGAAGGGTAGAAAAGGAAAACGACAGATAATTAAGTTACAAATAGATTAGCGCCGGTGCGCAACAACATGCTCCACGTTAAAAACGGGTTAGCACGGATTACCGATGTTCCGAGACAAAATCCAAAAAGTACTTTCAAGATCCATCTACCATTTTAATTTAATTCAACAATCTGAAGATTGTGAAATTGAACTAAAATGGGTCTAATTGGAAGGAATAAAAAGGAGGGTTTTATAGGAAACTCCTGGGCGCCTGGTTCCATAGGATAATCACTATCTAAAACAGACTAAAACGACGAAAATAATTTAAAAAATATGTTCACCTACCCAAAAGCGAACAAATAAAGAATTAGTTTTATCTCCAACTTGAAATTTGACCTGACGAAAAGAATTTAAACAAAATTTTGACCTATGATCCCTACAAAAACGAAGTAAAAGAACTGATCTTTAAAAAAAAAATATGTTCCATATCCAACTTAAAGAATCTAATAACAATTTGACTTACGACCCCTAACAAAAACGAACTAAAAGAACAAATCTTTAAAAAAAGAATAAGTTCCATATCCAACTTAACCCATTTGCGCCTACCGTCCTTTTAAAAGGACTTCAAAAAGAAACCTTTATTTTGCTGATTCAGCTGACGGTTTGAAGATGTCGCCAGTGTTACGTTATATTTAGTTGACATCTTAAAGAAGATCAATCGCGATCGTTAGGATTTTGTTCAATTTTGGATTGATAGTGACGATTAAAAAACACTGTGTTTCTAGTGATTTCGCAATGAGTGACTCAAGGTAAGATATGTTAAAACTCGTTTATTTTTTCGTTGTTGTTTTGATTATTTTTAACAAATAACATAATATACTTAACTTTTTTTATATTTGTGGTTATGTTTCACACTTCTGGATCAATCCAGGAGCGTTCAATTGAACGAGTGCTTTTAAAAGGACGGTAGGATAATATGCTACTATGCGTTTTTTTTGCAGGCATTGGAAAGAGCCACTAACCATGGCACAACTCTTGGAAGAATTGGAGAATGACTCTACGCCGGACTTTCCTACAGACATTATAATTTTTCCACCCGAAAATGCCAACGAAAACTGTGATACCGATGAAGATTCTGGGGCTGAAGACGATGTAGTTCCAAACAATTTACCCGGAGTGCAACTAAGGGCCCCGGCAGAAATCGAAGTTGACGTGGTAGGTGATGACGACGCGGACAGTGATGACGATCTTCCACTGTCCACTTTTGTTGAAAGGCGACCTAAACACATAAAGACGTTTGACTATAGACTCAATGAAGATTTAGATTCTACGTTCATGCAATGGCAACCAGTTCAGACAGCACAAAGCAATCGTTCGCCTGGAAATATTTTCAAGCTGTTTTTTGATGAAAACTTGGTAGGAGAAATTGTCAATTTTACCAATATTTATACTTATATCAGCCGCTATTTCCAGAGACAGATTTCAATTTATAATGAGTAATCTTCATTGCAATGATAATACTTCCCTTGATAAAAATGACAAGTACTCTAAGCTGCGTCCTCTTTTCAACAGCCTAAATAAAAAGTTTTTTGATTATGCCCCAGTTGAACAGAATCACAGCTTTGATGAGGCTATGATACCGTATTTTGGGAGACATAGCGGTAAGCAATTTATAAGAGGCAAGCCTATAAGGTGGGGGTATAAATTTTGGGTAGGTACCCTACGCCTTGGATATATTGTTTATTTTGATCCCTACCAAGGTGCGTCGACAACAATTCCGGACAAATATAAACACATGGGTTTGGGAGCGTCAGTTGTTCTCCAATATGCAGATGTTTTACAGAAAATGCCTTACCAGCCCTTTCACTTATTTTTTGACAATTTTTTTACATCTTTGTCACTTCTAAAAGAGCTAAAATTGAGGAACATCAAGGCAACTGGTACTATACGTGAAAACCGGATCCCTCAATCTCCATTTAGCAATGCTAAAGTTCTGAAGAAAAAGACTCGAGGTACATTTGAACGGGGTGTTGCCGATAATGAGATCGCTTTATGCAAATGGAACGACAACAGCGTTGTTACTTTAGGCACCAATGCATGTTCAGTTTTGCCAGTAAATAAGGTAAAACGATTTTCACAGGCTGAAAAAAAGCTGTTTATATAGATCAGCCACAATTGATCAAGGCATACAACGAAAATATGGGAGGTGTAGACCGTAGTGACCAAAAAATAAGCCAATATAGAGTTTCAATATGTGTTGGCCCGACTTTTGATATTCGTAAGGAAGAAAGTGACAACCAACTATACGCACTTAGTTAAAGTCATATTGACAGAATGAGATGACATTGACAAATTAATTTGAATCAGTCAGCTGTGTTAAAAACGTTTAAAAGTTTATTTAAATTATATCGAGTCTTAGCGTGAAAGATTGTTAGTTTGAGTACAGCAAGTTTGGGATATCACTAAACCAGTATTAAAAGTAATGTTGGTAATAAAAAAATGGTCTCCTAGAGTAACAGGGTTGTTGATGGTAGTAGGCGAATGAATTTAGAAAAATATAGATATTGATGATTTTTTAAACAAGAAATTGTAGGTATTAAACATACAAGGTATGATATAAATATTATATTAATCAATTTAATTAATTACTTAAAATGGTTGTAAAGCTTTGACCAAGTTTATTATTTTAATGTGGATTCCTAAGGTTTTACCTCTGATATTTATTTATCTAGTTCAGAATGACGTTATAATTCATATATTTTGTATCATAAGTCGATATCATTATATTAAATATATTAAACCTTAATATTCCTTATTTTTACTATTACATACATATTATTATTATTATTCTTACTATATTTTCTATGCCAGATCATAGATCATAACCATGATTACTATATTGTATATTATTACTGTTTCTCTATTTATTGCGCCATTTAATGGTATTAATAAGAATGAAGGTTTTGCTGTATAAAATTGAATTGTATCTCTGTTTCGACTGTTTATACAAAATGAGCTGATATATTGTTACTGATGATCATTATTATAAATTTAGTTGATATTACATTTGGCTTGGTAATACTTAAGAGTCTGCATTTATTAAATCTTGGAAATAAAACCCTTTAATCTATAAACTTGGAGATATATATGTATTTCTATAAATGTACCGTATTAAACTAGTAAATCTA